AGAAATCAGGACTAAGCTGGTGTATTGATAAAGTCCAATTTTCAATTAGGTTTTAAAAAAAGCCAACAATTTCATTAAGCAATCATAGAAACAAAGTCCTCAAAAAATGATAGCTATTTTAATAATGCATGGACTATAAATATGAACAAATATGGGAATTTCTATTTTATTTTAGAACTGCTATGTCAAGTTTTTCTTAGTTATAAAAATAGTCTAGTATAGTCTAGTATATTATTGCTAGATTTGAACTTTTTTCTGGAAATGATAATGCCTTCATCTGTGAAAAAGAGAAATATATGTGATTTATTACAAAGATGTTTAATTTTCATTCCATTACATTATGTTCTGTGAACATTTATATCTAGTCTTTAATTAAACATGATTTATTTAAATTGAGATCTGTTTCCATTTAGATTGCTTGCAGTGTTAATCACAGTGCAAATAGCCTTTGCCACTGAAAGAATCCCTATATTATACTAATGTATAACCTCCTCTGTGAAATTGGCATCTGTTCTCTGAGCCTGCATGTTACCAAATTCGTACACATGTAGAAAAGTGTTACTTATCTTGCTACTATATTAAAGAACATAACTCACTTAATATAACATTTATGTTTTTATGAATTTAGGTTTAAAGTAGTTTCTTAAATCAAGAAAAATTGAAAAGTGCCCAAATAGTAAAAGATCTCTTTTCATCACAAATTGACTATGACTATAAAGCATTTTAAATTCTGCAATGCAATTCCAGTTTATCTTGCCTATGTTCACGTATGGGTAAAAGTGTAACTGGTTTTGTTTGCTTTTTTTTTTAGAATCAGATGTTCTTAATTTTAACTTCCATTGTTGGCCATTGTAGATCTGTCCTGAAGAATAGGCAGAAGGTTTAAAAATTGATTAGATTCATATTAACATGTGTACATACAGTTATTGTGTAAAGTCTTGGAAGATGCAAGGAAACTATGAGCAAGAGTACCTGCACATTCCTAATGTATGTGTTTTAACTCTTGATTGTTCTCATGTTAGGCACTGTAAAAATTTCCTTCTATTAACATATCCAAGTACCGGAAGCTGGGTTTTCTCTTACTTATGATTCAGTTCAATCTTAAAATGAGAAAGTGTTCAGAGCCTCTTACTTGAGAATTAAAATATATCTTGTGCCCTAAACAATTGGTTGGAACACTGTCCCATATACCAAAAGATTGTAGGTTCAATTCCATGTCAAGGCATATACCTAGGTTGTGGGTTTGATCCCTACTTCAGGTGCATGGGAGGCAACTGATCAATTTTTCTCTCTGACAACATCTTTCTCTTTCCATTTCTCTCTCTCTCTAAAAGTAATGGGGTGGTGGTGGGGAAACAAAATATCCTTGAATGAATATTAAGTATATATATATTTATATATTAATATATATCTTCCCCCTCAAAAAAATGCACACACTTTAAATAATTATAAAAGCAGTAACTGCTTTTATAATTATTCAAAGTGTGTGCATTTTTTTTCAAAAATACATTTCATTTTCAAAATTGAGTTATGAGCTGTTAAAGTGTATACATTTTGGGGATATATATATATATATTGCTTGCTCGATGCAGGAAGGTTCATGTAAGAATAGGCCTTCCTTCCCCTGGCTGCCAGCACGTGGTGGGCGTACTTCTGCAGCCTGTGCAGCCTGTGCAGTGGCAAGGAAGTGGCAAGCCCTGTGCCCTCCGGTGCTTCCTCCCTGCCTTCCTTCTCCAGAGAGTTGCTCTGTGCAGTGCTGATGCTTCCAGGGAGGCATGGAAAGGAAGAGGTGGGGGGAGGGAGGCACGTGGGGAAGACTGGAGAGGTTGGGTGCTCTAGTGCATCTCACTTTCCCATTGTGAAAGTGGGATGCAACTGACTCCCTTCCTCATCCTCTTCCTCCTCTGCCCTCCACCCTCCGCCTCCTGTCTGCCCTCCCTCCATGCCCAACACCCCTCCCCTCTTGATTTGGAGAGATAGGGAGGAGGGTGATCTGATAATTTGGGTTACAGTGTAGGTGGCCTCTTTTATCTATTCAAATCAAAGCTGAGCCGCCTGCCACTGCTGCCATAGCTGCCACCATCACCGCATGGCTGGCTCAGGGCTTCTGGGGTGTGCTAATTATGCACCAAATGAGCTCCCATATGTGTCCATGCCCATGAGTTTGCTCCAATGCTAGGGTTTTGTTTACCAGAGCAGCAGGGCAGGGGTGGGGTAGAGGGAGAAACCAGACACCAGGAGCTATGACCTCAGTCACCAGAGGGTTGCCTATGAGGCTGGGGGCTGGGCCACAGGGAGGCTGCAAGGATGGTTTACAGGTGTGGAGTGTGGCAGGGAGGCCCGGAGGAGGCCCACTGCCCAGAGGCCTGGAGTGGCTGGGGAGTGGGGCCACCACCATCTTTGGTGGGTTAATTTGCATATTCACTCCTGATTGGCTGTGGGTGTTGTGAATTGACAGTCAATTTATATATTTCTCTTTTATTAGATAAGATATATATTCTATTAACATCAAATCCTGTGTAGGTTTTCATTCTGTCTTCCTTTACTCATTTCTTAAACTGTGCCATGTATGATTTAACTAGGTCTTTCTAAAATACAAGGGTACAGAGAGTACCCTCCATCTGCTTGTTCCTAGGTCTTCAATGCCAAAAGGTAAAAGCAGCTCGCTCAGCTAGCAATAATGGTTCTTCATAATCTGCTCCCTGTCTGTGTCCTCAGATGTGATCACCAGCACTCCTCTTCCCATTTTCTGCTCCAGACAGACTGGGCTATTCCTGTACGTGAGCACAGTGTCACACCATGGACATTTCTCTTCAAAGGTGTTACTCATCCTGGTTTCCTGCTCAGAAATTCACCATCTTCATCCTGCCCTTACTAATCCTAAAACTTTAAAGTCCAAAATGGAGATATACTTCCTTTATGTGATCTTCAGATATCAATACTTAGTTTATCCTATATCAATATATAAAAGAATCATGTGTGTCATTTACAAAATAAGGTAATGCATCTTTAAAGACATAAAAGTTTAATTTGGCCATGAGAAATAAATTTTAGTAGATATGATCAAACAGAAGACATAGCAGGCATGTTCTAAAGTTGCCAAACATCATCATAACTTTACACTGAGCTTGCAAAAGTTAAAATTTTTTTTAACTTAAAAAGCACAGAGACTTTGTACACTTTCAAAATTTAATGAAAATATTTTGCAGTAGTTTATTATGAAGACTAAGTGAAATGTTGACATGACTAAAAAGAGCTAACTATTACATCAGATAAAAAAAAAATTACTCCTTCCTTCTTTCCTTTCTTCTTTATTTCTGGAGAGTTTTAGTGTTAAATATTTACGAGCCTATTGTATTTTATAGCACACAGCTATTTCTTGAGACTATCAGATTTTGGTTTATTACTAGAACCCTCATGCTTTAATTCATGCATGGTTGGGGTCCAATCAAGGGGACCCCATATATATTTGCATATTAGCCTTTTATTATCTATGATTTGATGGGGGGGAAAAACTTAAATTATTTTTAATCTTTATGAACGCAGTCATGAATTGGTTTTACTCTTAAGTTGTAATAGTCAACCAGAATCCAAAAGGGATGCTTTTTCAGAGTAAGTCATCAACTGGCTAAGGAAATTTAGACCAACATTTGTACAGTAAACTTGTAATGAGAGGTAGACAACTTTGCTTCCCAGAAGAAATACTATTTAGAAGAAAATTATAAAACAAAGTGCAAATAGAGACTTTCCTATTATTTTTCCCTTGTTTGGTCTTGAGGGAGTAACTTAATGATGATATATATTGCTTTAAATACTATGAAAACCCAGTACTTCACAAATACCTTTTGATACATTGTAGTGTATCAGAAGGCACAAAACACAACTGAAATTAAAACACACACAGACACACACACATTTACTAGTACATTATCTGTGTACCACTATTTCTAATCTTTTGTTAGAACTATCAGGAAACATTTATTGGGCACTAGTTGTCATCAGATAGTGTGTGGCATTTGCAGAAGTGCAAAGAACGGTGCAAGGCAGGACTGAATCTGTAAAATTCACAGTCTGTCTAGAAAAAAGGGCGAAAGGTGAGTGAATAGACAGTTTCTAGGTTAACACCATTTAGGTAGTTAAGAAGGTTGGGGGGGAAAAAAAGAGCTGTGGGAAGAAAGGCAGAGAGGGAGTTCATTGGAGTAGATGACAAGAAGAGAAAGCAGTAGAAGCAGTGTGTGTCCTTTGACTAATTCACTGGCTCCCATGGAGCCCAGTGGGGCTGTGCTTAGCAGAATGATTGGTAAATATTAGTGACTGATATTTGACGGGATTAGCCATTATTACTTTTTCATTTAAAATCATACTCATTATTTCTGTTGTCCAAAATTAGCATGGAAATTAGTATAATTTAAATGTTTTATATTTCCAGTGATTTTACATCAGGTATAATAATGGTATATCAAGGGATAAGTCTCTTGTTATCCTAACTTTAGAAACCCTTGAATGAGATTAGGAAGTGATCATCATTTACATTTATTATACTTTGCATTTAATGAGCTTTAGCTTTTAACTCTAATTTGCTTCTTATCGCATTCATCAAAGGCAAACTATTTAGAAACTAAAACATCTCTGTCAGTTGGAATTTTAATGAATTAAGATGAAATGAGACAGTATTAATTGGCAGTTGTTGCTGCAGGGGAAGTTTCTAGATCTTCTAAGTGATACCAATTCATCTCTCCATCAGAGTTAATTTGTTTGATTTAATTCTAAGGAATACACTGACTATTTCCTTACACTATTCATATTTATATTTTTATTGAAGTGTAGTTTAGTTCTATTGTTCTTTCACTTAGATTCTCAATTCCATTTGAACTTGATTTAATTTGATTGCTAATCAATTTAAGCACCGTTTGTATAGTTGACTTATGATTCGTACACAAAGCTAATCATTTTATTCACCAATAACTTTACTTATTATGTTTTTTTTCTTTTTTCCTCAGATATAAATGAATGTGAAGCTGAGCCTTGCAAAAATGGTGGAATATGTACAGACCTTGTTGCTAACTATTCCTGTGAGTGCCCAGGTGAATTCATGGGAAGAAATTGTCAATACAGTAAGTATTAGTATATATATATATATATATAGAGTGTATATATATATACATGCACAAAGTTTTATTTGCATAGCCTGCATTTGTTATAGGAACTGAGTTGACATCAATATAGTTTACTTCCAGAATTCATAATTTTTTGAAGTGGCATATTTAATATTTGTTGTTTAAATGTTATTAAATTCCAGGATAGATCTCAGGGCATGATGGGCACAGGAGTGGTCACCCTGTGGTCTGAAAGTAGGGCAATAGATCCTCAAACCCCAAGTGTATCTCTCTCATCATTACTATTTTGGCTTTGAGTGTGTGTGTGACCTAAATTTTCAGTAGTGTTGGTTTAGACAATACAGGCAGCACACTATGCCCAGATAGCCTCTATCACAAGGAAAGGTAGGGGTAAAGGAGGATTCATGTTGAGTTGAACAATATATTAGTAGAAATTGTACACACATTTTTTCTTCTTGGAAACCTAAGCCAGTCTCGATATTATAGATCAAATGTTAGACCGATAATTTACCTGAAGTGTTAACAAAGAAGAACAAAGCACTCCTTTATTCCCATAAACAAACAAAGAAAATACTAGGAAAAGATAGTAACAGATTTATAGTCTCATGGGAGGAGACCAGAATTGGGCACAAATATATATTAATGAGAACAATAATGATATAGTTCAATAACTATATATATATATATATATATATATATATATATATATATATATATACACTTCATAGTACTACTTCTTTGATGTGTATGCTATTAGAGATCACAATACTATAGAATTCAGAAGGCAAATGCAGAAACTGGCACCTCGGAATTCAGATGCAGAAACTGGCACCTAGGCTATGTCCAGGCTATCACAGTTAGTGACAGAAACAGACATAATCTAGGATTAGGTCTTATGATTCCAAGTTCAGAATATTTTCCTCTAAATTGAGATATCTATTGATATGGAGTTTTGAACAAGATCAACACAAAAGCACACTACACCTCCTCTCTTATACACACTCCCCACACACACATATATACTGCTGCTTTTTTTAGCCATAGTAACATTTTTATTTCTCACTTTTCTTCTCTTCCTTTCCTTTGACAATGGTAATTTATAAAACATAAAAAAGGAAAATTATTTAAGAGTTTCATTGGGTTGTATATATAATCAAAACGATGATCTAGGAATGCTTATTACCCTAGCTCCAAAATTTTTTTAATAGTGAAATTCTGAATATCAAAGAAATACCTTGGTTGGGGAAATTTTTTCTAAGCTTAAAAATCATTGGTGAAGGACAGTGAGCATGAGTTGATGAAGATGCTGCAGGCACTGATAGATGGAAAGAAAGGTTGGTCATCGACAAATAGCCACCCAGCCAACGATCCTAGTGACCTTCCTACTAAGCATGTAACTAACCAGCCATTAGATGAATTTAATTTCAACTGGTCCTTGGCTTACTCCAGGCATAGTTCTTGCACCCTTCTTAAACTTATATTTATGGGTCTTGAAAATATCTGCCCAGTCAGCACTGGAAGTTGTGTTAAAAAGCATCCTCCTAAGGGGCCTGAAAAAGAACACTTTGTTAATATGATGAAGAACAACAATAGATGGTAGTCGACTACTTGACTTTGATGCAGCAAAAACAGAGATCTGGTGCCAGAATGAAAGGCTGTCAGGGAGCACTGGAACTTGGAAAGATCTTAAAACTATGCCTGGATAAGAGCATGTCCAGGTTTGACAAGGCCACCCGTAGGAGGACTGGCAGGGGAGAAAGAAGACGAGACCTTCGAAGAATTGTTCAAGGGACATGTCATGAGAATCCTCCTTAGGAATGAGAGCCTCTCCATGGTGGTCAAACCCTCGCTATTTGAGTGACCTTAAGAAGTAGTGTCTGAAGTTATAGACAACCTCCTCTCCTAAAAAAGGAGATCTAAGACTTGGAGTTATTTATATGGCCTTGCCTTCCCCCATTCTCTCTTCATACTGACCAAGGAGCAACTAGACACCAAGTTACTTGTTTGCATGTTGAAAATGAAAGGAGACCTGGATGTGAACTAGTCATTGAAACCAATAACTAAAGCCTGCCCATCCTCCCATCAGAGACTTTTGCTGAGGTCACCACCTCTGAAAATACCTTAAAGAAAGAACCTTATTGATTATGGAAGGATGTGTTGAAATAGACTTTGATAAGTGCCCCCAGTTTGTGCCTAATAGATTTCAATCAGTTTATGATAGTGTGTTTACTGAAATTCCTTGGTTTTCTTTGACTTGGTTTTACATTCATATAATATTTATATTTAAATGCAGATTTCTCTTTGAACATGAATGTGATAGTGAGGTACTACCCTTAATCCATCATATGCTCTGACATCCTCCCACATCCTCTGTCATCTCTGTGCCCCAGTAAAGAGAACACTTGTGGCACACTTGTAAGAGTTGCAATAAATTAGGATTCTTACTCTTTGTATTGTCTGTTAGATGGCTCTGCCTTTTTCTGTGACTTCACAGAGTTTTTAAAATTGATAAATGAAAGTGCATTCTGCTCCAGAGTTGATTTAGGTCTACACACTGAGAACTCTGAGCATTCACTCATGACAGTGCACCTAGAAACACCTGCAAGTTGTAGGTAGTGCCAGCTCTGAGCTGACCGAGGTGAGGATCTTCAGAGTTGACATGATATAGATTATAACCACTGTGCCAGCTTCCACTCTTTAGTGAGATGGATAAACCTTTTTTCTGGGCTTTGTATCATGTCCCATAGGGACACCATTGGGTTGGCTTCTGCCTGCAATAACGGTAGAGAAGCCATTTGCTCAGTCTGCTTTTTCAGGAGGAAGAGGGAAGGGAGAAAGATAGAGAATAACTACTGGCTGGGTCAGAGGATACCCACACTGAAATGCTATTATCATTGTGTTTAAATCCAAACTGCCTTTAGTCTAATTGTGGGCTCCTGCACTCATATTTGCTATACTTGAAATATTTTTTCCTTATTTTTACTGATGGATTAATTAAGTTCTGGTATATTTAAAGATGAAATCATTCTCAGAACCCCCCCCCAAAAAAAAATCATAAATAATGGCAAGTATTGCAAAGTAATACAATTGACTTGAACACTGAAATAGCTGTATAAAATAGTAAACAATAAACTGAGAAATATTTACAATATCCGTGGAAGGCACATAATACTTACCCTTAATATATTGTTTCTCTCAGTTCAATAGAATTGAATATAACAGAAAAAACAGCAGCAAGAATGTAAATAGAACTTCTCACAAAAAAAGTAGTCTAATATTTATATTATAGTAGTGCCTTTATTATTGTTTTTACAAATATTATGATCTTTTTTTTAAATAGACTTTAGTACTTTATGAACTGGAAATGAGAAAAGTATTTTAAATATCTATTTAATGAGAGCACTTGATATGTGAAGAAAACACTGGACTGACCGTGCACCACTCTGCTTCTACCTCTCACCATGTATCTCTACCCCTTTCTTTACTCAAGTGGAAAGCAAAAGATGAATGGCAGAAGCACATGGCAGTATTTGTCAACACAAAAGGATGAAGTCCTAAAGAGGAGCAGAGGCCAGCTGGCAAACGTTAGACAGAATATGGAAAAGACAAAGGGAGGGGAATGAGAGCTGTTAAGCCAGGGCTCCATGCTAGCTAATCGTGAGGCTCCCTGGAAGCTCCAACACACACACACACACACACACACACACACACACACACACACCACGTACACGCACACTCACTCCATAAGAAATTTGTCTTATGAGTAGAAAATTGTAAGGCAAAAGAGGTGATAGTTGTTTACAAACATAAAAGCTCCCAGGAGACATTACTTAAGAGAAATCCTTCCCGCCTTCTGCCCGTGTTCCTCCCACGGTCTATTCCTAACCCAGCTCTCAGAGGGAACCTGTGAAACAGTCAGAGTGCATCATCTCTCAGCTCAGAATCTTCTACTCACTGCTGACTGCCGACAGTGAAAATTACAGTCCCATTCCAAGGCCTGCAGGACCGGCCTGGACTTCCAGCCTTTTCCCTCACCTCTCTGACCGCATCACCTGGGAATCTGACTTTCTTATGCACTGCTCCTGCCTCTAGCAGGTTCAGGCACTCACCTGGCACATTCTTTCCCAGAGCATTTCCTTTTCTATTTCCTTTTTTCTGTAATATTTGTATGAATACTCCCACACTTCCTTCAGGTTCTTGCATAACAGGCACCTATTCAATGAGGCTTTCCCTGACCTCTCCACTTCCTTACCATAACACCCCAAAACACACACTCAACTCCTTCTCTGCTGTAGTTTTCTCCTTAGCATTAATCACTAACATATATTTTTACTTTTAAATTTTGTTTGTTGACTAATTCTCCAGTAGAGAATATACTCTATGAGGGGCAGATTTTTGCTGTTCCAATCACAACCACCTAGATAGAACTGGAAAATAATAAGTGCTTGACAGATATTTGCTAAATGAATGAATGAACCTAGCACTTTGAGTTCTTCATGCATGGGTAAGATATCTGACATTTCAGTGCCTTCAACCACTATCAAGTTCTTTTTTTGCCCGACTTTCTATTTTTAAGTTGTATTATAAAGCTGCTTTTGCCAGAATAATAATATGTAAACTGGTACTCACAAAATAATATTACAAGTTGAATTGTTTCCCTTTGACTTGATAGGACCTGTTATAATTATATTTTGCAATGTGGTTATGCAGATGGATTTATAATCAGAGAGATAAACAGGGAAGTTGTTTCTCTTTATATGCCAGTTCTGCATGCAGGCATTTTGATAAATGATCTTAAATCACTTCTTTATTTCTCAATTTCTCATGCATATCAATTAATCAATAGACATGTGAATGCAAGATGTTTATGTTGATTGCTACTTGAATAAATATTATATAAAAATCAAAGTGATTTATTTAATGTAATGTATATATTTAATTAATATAGCTATTCAGCACTTTATAAAGAATAAATTTATATCTAACCTTATCTGTTT